CACAAGGCTGTATATCCCAATCCTTGGAACCTATGAATTCGTTATTTCACATAGCAAAAGAGATTTTGCAGGTGTGATTAAATTAAGCATCTCGTGCTAGAGTGATTATTCTGGATTGTCTGGGGGAGACCTGTGTAATCACAAAGGTCCTTGTAAAGGGCGTGCAGGAGGGTTCATGCAGAGAAAGATGTGCTTAGAGAAGCAAGTTGTAGTCTGAGAGATTTGAAGATGCTGCACGACTGGCTTTGGAGACAGAATAGCGGGTCGCAGGCCAAGGCCTACAAGTGGCTTCTGGAAGCTACAAAAAAAAAAAAAAGAAAGAAATGGATTCTCCCCTGGAGCTTCCAGAAGGAATGCAGCCTTGGGGATACCATGATTTCCGCTTAGTGAGATCCACATTCCTTGTTGGACTCTGGCCTCCAGATTTGCGAGAGAATTTGTGTTGCCTTAAGCCACTAAGCCTGTGGTAACTTGTTAAAGCAGCAACAGGAAACTGGTAACGTCTTCATTGTTTTTGGAGGAGGGGTGCCTGGTATTAGTGATATGTATAAACTGAAAATTATATTAGAGACACAGCAGAGTGAACTTGATGAGGAATACACACTCTCGGCCGAGAGATACAGAAGGATATAGCCTCCTTCTTTTCCTACCTAGAAAAAAAAATCATAACAGAAATATTTATGAATGTTCTAGTAGTGTTTTCAGTAATAGCCCAGCCTGAGACCTGAAACTTCTCATAGAAGGGATGAAGTGCCCCCAACCCCCACCATTTAGTACTAAACATTATTTTTCAAAGGGGAAAAGATTCTCATCCTGAGTGAGCCTGTAAGTTGGTAGGTGTGGGAGCAGAGAGCAGTGTTCTCGTGTTGCTGAAATGCTGCTCGTGTAAATGAAGGATTTGTTTTGCTAGGAGGGTGCTGACAGGATCCCCGAGTGCTTCACTCCAGCTGCATGTAGGGATGCGTTGCTGGTAAAATGTTAATACCAGGCAGCTTCCCACGACAGCCAGAGGTTCCCAACCTGTCCAACTCCAGATGTGCGAATTGTCCTGTGTTAGTTTCCTAGGGCTGCGGTGACAACTAACCACAAATGTGGTGGTTTAGAAACAACAGACATTTATTCTCACAGTTCAGGAGACCAGAAGTTCCAAATCAAGGTAGCGACGGGATTGCAGCCCCCTTGGAAGGCCCTGGGGGAGAATCCATTCCTGCCTCTTCTACCTTCTGGTGGCTGCCGGCATTCCTTGGCTTGTGGCCACGTCAGCCGATGCCAGCTTTACATTGCCGTCTCTTCTCTGCGCATCTCTCTACTCTCCTTCTGGTTCTCTGGCATCGGGTACTTGTGACGATATTTAGTGCTCCCCGCCATGATCCAGGATAAGGTCCTTCTTTTAAGATCCTTAATTTAGTACCAGTTTTTACTATAGAAGATACTATTCATTTTTTTGCTGTATAAGGTAATATTCACAGTGGGGTCCTTTTTTTTTAGCCTGCTACTTGCTCCTTTATTGCATTTTTGCAGTCTTTGGCCTATTTTAGTTATCTGCATATTTTGGGAGATTGCTCTGTGCTCTGACCCACCTTTAGAAAGTCCCTGACAGAGCAGTTGTTGGTAGGGACTTGTAAGTTCCCACTCTCTCTACACCAACATGTGGAACACAAGTGAGCAAACTACAGCCCACGGGCTGCATCCACCCCACTGCATGTTACTGAAAAGCCTCCCCACTGAGAATGGTTTTATATTTTTAAATGACTGGGAGGAAAATCAAAAGAAGGATATTTTTATTACATGTGAAAATTACATGCATTTACATTTTGTGTCTTTAAATGAGGGGTTACTGGAACTCGGCCCTGCCCATTCAGGTGCACATTTTCTGTTGCTGCTTTCCTATCACCACTGAGTAGCTGTGGCAGAGGCCGTGGGATCCGCAAAGCCAGGTGGGGACTCTCTGGCCTTTACAGAGAAGGCTTCCGACCTTTGTTCCAGTCAGGGTATCTTGTCTTTGGCTTTAGTGCATAGTGGACACCAACCATTTGTTGATGGATGTTTAACTCATGGTAAGAATTTCATTATGTAGTCAGGATTTGATATGAGTCTCAAAAGGATTCTTTAAAGCTATAGGGTTAGAAGAATTTTATGCATCGTATCATCACGCTTCAGAACTTTTTGGCTCTAAGACTCAAATAAAGCAATATAGTCCTGCCCCTAAATTTAATTGAATTAATAAACAGAGGTCATATCCAGGCCGTGAAGCTGGCATGTGTGTTGGTTAATTTCATTGTCCACCTGGCTAGGATGTGATGATCAGGTGTGTGTTCAAACACTAATCTAAATGTTGCTGTCAGGGAATTTTTTAAGATGTGACTAACATTTACACTGAATCGACTCTAACTAAAGCAATTATCCTCTATATTGTGGTCCTCATCCACAGCATTAAATATGAAAACATTAAGAACAAAGACTGGAGTTTCCTAAGGAGGAAGGAACTCTGTCTAACGACTGTATCAGAAATCCCACCCGAATCTCCAGCCTGCCACCCTGCCCTACAAATTTCAGACTTGCTAGTCCCCACAATTGCATGAGCCAAGTCCTTAAACCAAATCTCTCTGTCTGAATACGCATCCTATTGCTTCTGTTTCCCTGGCGGCCCTGACTGACACCCCAGGTCACTCCGATGCGGTGGAAGTGTGGCCCGGCTTGAGTGTTTGGCACCGCTTGAGTGTTTGGCACCGCAGTGCAGCGAGGGTGAGAGGCCTGTCCCTGCGGCATCTCACCCTTCTCGCTTCACACCTCCTCCGGGCTTCTGCCTCCTACACCTTGTGAAAGCAAACACGTTATATTTGGATGCCGCAGAGTCGGAAATAAGCTCGCTTGTGATGGGGCAGAGAGGACTTTTTCGCAGTTCAAGGTTGTGCGAAGTTGTGAGGAGACTGTGAGATTATACCAAGGAGAGGCGTGTGGCCCTGTTGATAAGAAGCCAATGAGAAAACAGGAGGGACTGGGCAAAGTCCTGGGCGGCCCAATTTGTGAGAAGTTTGCCCCTCCCCCTGTGCCTCTGCAAACGCAAGCTTTCTGGGTGTGCACACCGCACCTGAGAACGAACGCCCAGTCCGTGTAACTCCGTGACTCTGTTCTGTCGTGCTGCGGTTAGTTTCTCTTGTGCTCAGGTTTTGCTTCTTTATAATAGATGAATAACAATGCAAATAGATGCAGTCTTTGTTAATGCTTCGTAGTGGGACTTGTGTCTCTACATGTGTATGAAGTTTTATATCCCAAGACATTTGAAATTTGAGTTTAATCACCTGTGGTTACATGTATAAAAATTACACATTTGAGTATAAAAGATTCAGTGGAATGAATTGTGGTTTGTTTTTTTTATTTTGCAACGAAGCTGTTATTCAGCCTTGAAGTGGTGCTAAAAATATATTTTATACATTTTGATTTCTCCCAAGTGGGCATTATATTCTCAGCTTGCTCCGGGAAATGGTTGACTTCACTGAGTTGAGGATACTATCTCCTTCCTATTTCCCCACCCCCATCCCTCCCACATACACTGTTCAAGCTATGTTTTCTGTCAGCGAATTATAATCTTTATATGGCATGCTATTTTTTAAGTGCTATTTTCAAGAAATAATTGTAACTTTGAGTTTTATAGGTAATGACCAATTCTATCTCTTGACTTGCTTTAGTTTTATAAATATCTAAATAAAATTACTGGAATATGAAATAATTTCTTACTCAGAATGCCATTTTTACTCTGAATGTCTAGAGTCTCTTACACTCTTCATCCTAATCTAATGGTCTCTATCTACACAGCGGGTCCTTCAACAATGCAGGGGTTGGGACACTGTCCCTCTGCGTAGATGAAAACACACGTGTAACTTTTAACTCCCCAAAACTTTTCTTTTAAAGGTTTTATTTATTTATTTATTTATTATTAGACAGAGGGGGAGGGAAGGAGGAAGAGAGGGAGAGAAACATCAATGTGTGGTTGCCTCTCACATGCCTCCTGCTGAGGACCTGGCCTGCAACCCAGGCATGTGCCCTGACTGGGAATCAAACCACTGACCATTTGGTTCGCAGGCTGGTGCTCAGTCCACTGAGTCATACCAGCCAGGGCTTAACTCCCCAAAACTTAACTAGTGACAGCCTACTGTTTGGCCAGAAGCCTTACTTCAGAAGATAAACAACTGATTAACACGTATTTTGTATATGTATTATCTACCGTATTCTTAAAGTAAGCTAGAGGAAAGAAAATGTTACTAAGAAAATAGTAAGGAAGAGAAAATACATTCACAGTACTACAGGTATGTACTGAGAAAAGTCGGCACATAAGTGGACCCACACAGCTCAAACCTGTGTTGCTCAAGGGTCAAGTGCATAGGAATTCTGGTGGACTACGTAGTGGCACCCGACACAGTTTACTTCAGCAGCAACTCCGTGAGAAAGTTTTATTGTTTCCAATGACCAGGTTCTGTGACAGGTTCTGGGGAGATAAATGAAAAGATGGGGGAAGGGGGTTCTTCCTCTCAAATTGCCCACAGAAGGGTGCAATTAATTCAGTTTGTTGCGGATAGGAAGGCATCACAGAGTAAGTTACCATCCAACTGGACTTTGAAGGAAGTGATTTCCACGTGAAGAAATCAGCATGTTAGACTGAGATGTGTTGGAATCTTGAAGTTTTACGTATGCTGTTCAAAAAGTGAAGTAGAACTCGGTTAGACTTAGCATAAACCAGAGGACCTCTGAGGCTCCATAGTAATTGTGTAGGTTATTGTTAGTTTTTTTTAAAGCATGCCTGAGGATTGATGTAATTTGTTAGAGCAGTGCTGTCTCCTGCTCTAACAAGAAGATCCTGAGATCTTCTGTGTGTTCTAGTGTTGAGTATTAGCAATCATTCGTACAATACTAAGTGGGTGCCTGAAAAATGTTCTTGTTATTATTTTATCAAAGTGACGCTTTCCCCTCTCTCTCCCCTCCCTTTTTGTTTGCTTTTGCAGTTGGTTAGTCTGTTGCTGATTGGCATCGCGGCATGGGGCATTGGCTTCGGGCTGATTTCCAGCCTCCGCGTGGTCAGCGTGGTCATTGCAGTGGGCATCTTCTTGTTCCTGATCGCCTTGGTGGGGCTGATTGGGGCTATGAAGCACCATCAGGTGTCGCTTTTCTTTGTATCCTTTTCAAAAAGGGTTTTCCCCCCTAGTTGGGGCTGTTCTTTTTATTGATTGCTTCTTAATAACTGTAACTAATTAAAAATGATCATCAGGAAATTGTCAGAAACCCCTAGCCAGCCCTGTGTGCATGTGTTCAGCCAACATGAGAAGCATTCTTAAGGCGAAGTTATTGTGCGTTTACCACACGTTCCCACTCTCTGCACACCATGAAGAATGTGTTTTGTAAGTTCAGTATAGTTCTGTTTATATTTTGCAAGTTCAGTTACTTGAGCTGATTCGGTAACCTCTTTGCCCTTTCCAACATGTTAATATTTGGTTGAGAGTTTCACAGTGATATATGCTTACCTATTCTTATTTCCCATTTTATATTTGTAAGAATGTTATTTTACTCTCAATGAAATTCTAATACATCTTTTAGATAATATTTATTATTGTTGTCAATATTTTTCTATCTGAACTTACAGCTACTGTGTATTATCGAAATGATACTTATGTGTAGCCTTCTTGAATTTTCTCTTAAGTGCCATTGTTTTTGTGTTTTCCAGGTGAATTCCTTATAGTGCATTCTAAAGTTGTCAGTGTGCCTGTTTTATGCTATTTTAAGAGTGTTGAGAAATACCCTTAACTGTCATTCTCAGTACATGATCATTCTCTTACTTGTATTTATCGTTCAGTTTTCTGTGTCGTGTGCTTGTTTAGCCCTGAATCAGGACCAGCAGGTAAGCAAAGACTTTTTTATTTTACTTCTTATGCCTCGTAGTATCTGTAGGAAAAAAAGGGGGAGAAACAATTGGAATATAAAACAATCGCATCTTAGGCAGAATGTCATTTACTCTAGGTAGCTAAAATCTTTTGTTCCTGATTGTATTAATGGGGCTGATTGGATCCCTAAACTTGTTGCCATATTTTTGCATCTTTTAAATAGGATTTTGTCTGCACTGGGTAAAAAGTGATAATGCTAACAGATGTTCAGCAGTCTTTCCTCACTATTATGCAATGAAACAGCTACTCTAGAATGTTTTTGGTTCCATTCTAGCAGTTAATCTTTTCAAACCTATTTGTAGAAGCAAATGGGTCACAGTCTTGGGGCAATGGAAAATTTTCCTTGTTACACTCTGACAGTTATGCCTTTCAGCCAAGTAAGTGGTGCTTTTAAATTGCATGCAAAATTTAAGACTTTTTATTCTTGGGATAGAAACAGTGCCTTAATTTTTGTTGCACATTGAGGGATAACCCTTTGAAAAGTTTTAATGATCTTATAAAGAGTATTTACTTTAGATACATGCAGGATTAAAAATTGCAGGCTACCAATTTATACAATTTGTCCAGGGATGGCACATTTTAATGTTTATGTGAAATGGATTTCCTAGGCCCAGCTTCTGGAAGTTGGTTGGAACAATACAGCAAGTGCTCGTGATGACATCCAGAGAAATTTAAACTGCTGTGGGTTCCTAAATTTTAACCAAAATGATACTTGTCCAGCTGTAAGTACAAAGTATAACATATTTTGGGGGGGAGATGTGTTATATGCAAATGAATAATGATGAACATAGAAGAAATGGACTTCCTCATGCTCAATTGTGTTTTTGAAATGCTTTGCCTATTCCGTGTACACTACAGGACCACTGGTACTCAGATACCTACTTCTGGGAGTCCTGAATATTCCCAGGTCCTGCCAAACACAGATGCTCTCGGTTCTTTGCCCCTTAATTCCTTCCCATTCAGTTCCTCTTAGAACAAGTTGTGAAAGAGAAATCACAGCAGATGAGCATTAGAGAGAGACCAGAGGAGGCGCCTACATACCTGTTTTGAAACATATCGGGGTAGTAGGTGGTTTATACTAAATTGGGCTTCTTAAAGTAAACAATCTCAGGGTGGAGGACACTTGAAACTGGTATTTTTCCTTGTCCCCCTTCTTCCCCATCACAACTTCTTGCTCTTTTTGGGGGGGAGCTGAGCCAGTAATGGACCAGTGAGAGCCACCCTTTCGTCCTAGGCCAGACCTGTGACCCTCCAGATCCAGCCTGAATTTGCATGAGGATGGACTTGGAGTTTGGCTCTCTTAGGAAGTTCACACATGTTTATATTTTGGGGAAACTCCTCTTACCAGTGCTCTGAGCCCTGAGCTGGATATGTCCTCACGGAGGTTTCTTTAGTGGGATTATTATTTTTCTATTGCTGTGTAATAGATTATCACAAATGTAGTGGATTAAAAGAACACCCATTTATTATCTATTTTTCCATGGGTCAGGAGTCTGGGTGTGGCTTAACTGGGTCCTCTGCTCAGTGTTACCAGGATGAAACCAGGGAGGTGGCTGGAGCTGCAAACTCACCTGAGGCTCAGGGCGCTCTACCAAGCTCAGTAGTTGTTGGTAGAATTCACCTCCTGGTGGTCGTAGGACTGAAGTCTTGTCTCCTTGCTTGGTGTCTCTGCTCTCCTAGAGGTCCGAACTCTGCAGCCATCTCACACCTCGGTGGCTTCAAAGCCCGCGCGATAATGTTCCCGTTCTGATAAGATAGTTTCTAACACAGTGCAACGTAAACGTACATGTGACTGCCCATAGTACTCAAAAATCCCAGCCACACACACGAGGCTGGCTATTCAGGGCCTGGATGCTGGGAGTGGGAATGTTGAGAGCCACCTTAGAATTTCGGACACTCTGAATAATGAAGGCCCCAGAATGGGTATAATACTGCAGACATTAATTTTTATGTGGATGCAATTGCTCTCTGCTCTTTATAAATGTACTTTGAAATAAAAGCTTTCTTCTTTCATTGATTCAGAGTTGTATGGAAAATGCCAACTCGTGCCCACTGTGTGCTCCAATAATAGGAAGATATGCGGGGGAGGTTTTGAGATTCGTCGGGGGCATTGGCCTCTTCTTCAGTTTCACAGAGGTATGTGCACATAACTCCTTTCTTCTCGTAGGGACGCTGTTGTGTATGGCATTTTACTGTAGCATGTCACTTAACCTGAAATGCATCAACGGATGTTTTCATTGAGAACTAGTGTTGTAATAGGAGGAGCCCTGGCTTGAAACCTGAAGACCTCATAGGTCTAGCATGAACTTTATGCAGGGTGAAATGCTTGATCATTAAGTTATATAAAATTTAATGTGCCAATGAAATAAGGAGATTAGACTCAGTTACCTCTAGGATCTCTTGTGTTTTTAGAGTTTCATAATAAATTATAATTTTATTTTTTCTTATAAAAAATTATATTTAAGTTGCTAGTATGCAGTGTTATATTAGTTATGTTAGTTTTAGGTGTACCATATAGTGATTTGATGTGTTTATACCGTACAATGCGATCACCCCACTAATTCTAGTAATCATCTGTTGCTAGGCAAACTATTCGCAATATTACTGACCGTATTTCCCTTCACTTTTTTCATTCATCCCCCTACCTCTCCGTTCGGGTAACCATCCCTTTGGTCTCTATCTTCTATTCTTCTTCTTTTTTTTTATCTTCATCCAAGGACATGCTTACTGGTTTGTTTGTTTGTTTTTTAAGAGAAAGGGGGAGCGAGGGAGGGAGAGACAGTTGGAGAGAAATATCGATGTGAGAGAGAAACATTGATTGTTTGCCTCTCGCACACTTTCTGACCAGGGACTGAACCTGCAACCTAGGTATGTGCCCTGACTGGGAATCGAACCTGAGGCCTTTTGGTTTATGGGATGACATAAATTATAATTTTAAATCAGGTTTTGGAATAGGTAGGACATTCACGTTGTTTAACATATGTGTTAATATATAATACATGTACATATACAGGGTGTGGCAAAGTAGGTTTACAGTTGTCAGTATGTGAAACAGTTTATTCTTGTATTTTCATTAATGATTGTATTATTTTCCATATGAACAACTGCAGACCTACTTTTGCCCTACTCCGTATATAAAGGTCCACGTCGAAGAATTCCCTTCCAAACTCATCCCTTACTTCCCTTTGTTCCTAGCCTGCAACAGTCAGGTAACCAGATGGCATTTCTTTTCTATAGAAGTTCATGTAGAGTATCTTTTCTATATGGCATTCATACTGTATTAATATACTTATTATATTAGTATATTTATATACAGTATATGATTCTGTAAGCCAAACCATATTTATATTAATTGATAATTTTTGAGGAACACTGATTCCTTCTACTCAACTTTCAATAGCCCTGGACTTCTTTGCTGGATCAGAGTTGGCAGTATGTATCACAATGAACATTGTTTTCTTTAACTCATAACTTCTGCTAAGAGCGCTTTATTTCATGGAGCTAATCATGATAATCATGATAATTTGATTTTATCAAATTTTGATTCAACCATTAATTCTAGATGTTTTCATTTTAAAAACTTTATTTCAGTTTGATAGGTAAAAATAGTGTTATAGTTCCATCTGTTGTTTTGAAAACGTTCTAGTGAATTTGACAGTAGACTCGTGTGTGTTGACCAATTGCACTTCATGTTTTGTCAGCGGCTCATTTACTTCTGTCTTGGTGGAGGCCCTTCGGATCGCATGTCACAAACCCAAAAAAGGGGAATTTAGTGTGTGAGGACCAGGGTGGGTCTCAGGGCCTGCAGCTGAGGTCAGCACCCAGCTGGGGGTCACCAGAAGGTTTGAGAACCTGGGTGCACAAGACTGCTCTCCACTCCCCTTTCATTTCCTCCATCCCACCCCCCCCCCCACACACTCCTCCCTTTACTTGCCCTTTTTTGGTTCTGCTTTCAGTTTCCTTGGCATTTATTTTTTTTTATTTATTTATTTTATTGTCGCTCAAGTACAGTTGTCTCTATTCCCTCCCTCCATTCCCCACCCCATCCACCTTTGGCATTTATTGAACTTTTTAACAACCTTTAAGTAAAATTTATAGAAGATTTTAGTTTTCATATAGTTAAATTTATAGCTTTTTTTCCTCTGTGGTTTATCCAGTTGATTTTTATGCTTAGAAGGTCCTTCTGATTTTGATTATGTATGTTCAGAAATGATTGAAGAAAAAAATCTAGGTGATAGCAAACTGTAATACTTCATGAAGAGGACAGTCTCCTTTCAGAAAACTGCAAAATGGGGCAGAAACTAATAAACTTTTATAGGAGAAGAAATAAAGAACAAGGAGGAGAAAAATGGAAACTATGTGATTGGCTGGGGCCACAGAGTCAGCCTGGTTTGGGGTGACAAGGGAAGGAGCTGGCTTAGCTTGGGGCCTGGCTGACTGCTGTACTGCGTTTCTGTTCAAGTGGAGCGTTTACAGGGCCGTGGAAGGCATCTGACCTGAAGCACGCCGCCCGCCCCCACCCCCTGCCTCCCCCGCCCGCCCCGCGCAGCAGCGTTTCTGCGGCAGGTCAGGGACACGATGCTTGGGTAGGCTGGGCGTGTCAGAGGAGCAGCTGTTTGACATTAGGGGGTGCAAGTATGTCAGGGTTGTAACAACCAGCAGAGCTGAGATGTAGGTGAAATGTTAGCTAGAGAATAGCAATGACCAGTAAGTAACACGTCGGATTCTCACATAAGACCATAAACGCAATTAAGAGCATGGACTTAAGATTTGAACCCCGGCTCCACCTCTTGGAGCCTGTGTGAGTGTTCCCCAGTGATTTAAGCCCTCCATGCCTCGGCCCCCTCACTGCTAAGATGAGGATGATGATAGTGCCTGTCTGGCAGGGTGTTCGGAGGGCTGTGAATTTGTAAAGCGCATGAAACAGAGCCTGTCGCGAAGGAATCCGGGTGTTGCAGTAAATCTGTTTTTGCCCCAGTCATGTAGACTCCACACCAGACTCCACGTCCTTAAATCAGGCTTAGTTTTTCTTGATTCAGTTCACAAACCATAGTTGCATAAGCCCTCACGTGTTGTAGCTAGAAACGTTGCCAGTCATGAGTTGCGCAGTGACTCAGTGATTGTCTTATGTAAGTGGAGAAAATTGGGGGCTTCCCATAATTCTCAAGAAGTAGTGTAAGGAACTAATGAGTAGTTATGAAGTCAAATGAACAAAGGTTGGATTAAAAGTTGATGTAGACCAAAAGTGAAAATGTAATTTGAAATTCATTTTGTTCCATTAGAATTGTGTACCTTTGTTCCAAAGAATTGTGTACCTTTTCAAGGACTGTTCTATTATTTTAAGTAAGTTAACTTTGAGGTAACGGAAGCAGAATGAATATATTTCTTAATTTTTTTGAAAAAAATATTTTTAAAGATTTTATTTATTTATTTTTAGAGAGAGGGAGGGAGGAGACAGGGAGAGAAACATCAGTGCGTAGTTGCCTCCCACACACCCCCTACTGGGGACCCGCAATCCAAGCATGTGACTGGGAATCAAACTGGTGGTCCTTTGTTTCACAGGCCACTGGTGAATCCACTGAGCCACACCAGCCAGGGTACATATTTCTTAATTAAAATAATTAATAGGGGGGATAAATGATGATGGAAAGAGACTTGGGGTGGTGAACACATGTACAATATACAGATAATGTATTATAGAACTGTAGACCTTAAAACTATATAATCTAAATAAATTCAATAAAAAATAAGTTACATTGGTTAAGTCTTTAGTGGAATTGGGGGGACATGGCATAGTAACAACTTACTCTCTAAAATTGTAGGCCCCCAACCCAATCACCCTTGGAAAGATAGGAATTAAGACATTTTTATGATGTCTGTTAGAAAATTTATTTACTATAGAATTTTTATTATTTCCTAATTGTTGCTGAGCCCAGTTTGTTTCTGAATTATCAAAATCTGTGATATTTAGCTACTCAGACAATTCAGTGTTCGTGTTAGTTTCCTATTGCTGCTCTATCCAATAAACACAAATGTAGCAGCTTGAAGCAACACACGTTTATTTTACACTTCTGGAGTCAGAAGCTAAAAATGGAGGCTTCTCCTGGAGGCTCTAGGAGAGAGCATGTCTCCTCGCCTTTTCCAGCTTCTAAAGGGGCCTGCCCTCCTTGGCTTGTGGTCCCTCTCTCCATCCTCAAAGCCAGCAGTGGTGTCGGTGTAGCATCTTCTCTCCCTGGCTCTGCCTCCAGCTGCCTCTAGAAGCCATCACGTCACCTCTTCTACAGCTGTATCTCTCTCTGATTTTATCCTTCCAGTCTCTATCTTGTAAGGAGCCTTGTGATTGTATGACCAAGCCCACAAAGATAGCCTCCCAACCTCAGCATCTTTAACTCAGCCACGGCTGTCGAGTCCCTGATTTATGAAGGTGACGTCCGCAGGTTCTGGTGATTGTGATCTGGACATCCTCGGAGGGCCGTATTCCATCTACCACAGGGTTTATAATAATTTGTCTTAGGGCCTCTCTTGTGGGTTACTTGACTACATTTTAAGAAGCAAAATGTCTCCCTTTTTGACCAAATAATGCTAAGTGCTTCAGAGGTTCCAGTTTACTTTACTGATAAACTGAATAAACACACGCAATGCTTACTTTCTCTTTCTTCTTTTTTTTCTTTCATTCCAGATCCTGGGAGTTTGGCTGACCTACAGATACAGGAACCAGAAAGATCCTCGTGCTAATCCTAGTGCATTCCTTTGATGAGAAAACATGCAAACAATTTCACATGCTGATCTTGTTCACAGCTAACTTTAAGTTACACTAATTTGCCTGTTCAAAAAAAAAAAAACAGTATCTGGAAAATTACATTACTGACAGTGGAATTATATATTTTTACTCTTACGTTTCTCTAAATGTTTTTCTTTTTCCATTGCTGAAAAAAAAACAATAGAAACGTGTGGTCTCCTCTGAACCTCAGTGGTACCTGTAATCTACTGTATTCACAGTGTCTGGCACTGTCCACTGTGGCCTTTCTTAGCATTTTTACCTGCAGAAAAACTTTGTATGGCACTACTGTGTTGATCTCATTGTGATTCTAAATCTACATCTCACTGGAATAACTCACTGTATGTGGCTCCGTGCTGTGTAGATAGTTCCTCCAGGAAAGAAGAGTTCAAGTCTATCAAAGCCAGTAAGTGTGAGATTCTATGAAGTTCAGAACGGAAAATCAAGTTCCCAACTGTTTGTCTTTTTAGGAAGTATGTATTATGGTGACATTTAACACAAAAGTGGTAATGTAGCTCTAGTGGTCCTTTATGATTACACTAATGTATTCTAGAAGTAGCTCTGTGTTTAGAAAAGTGTTGTTTAGTTTTTTATTTTTACAGTTAAGTGCAAAGGAGAACTGGTCTTATGAATGGTCTGTCATGTAACAGTTGCCTTCAGCCTTCAAAGTGGAATGAGTTTGAGCAACTCAGAAAGTGTATCTGTGTAATCCTGATGTTCTTTTATAATAATTTGAAGTCTAAAAGACTGCATTTTAAACAAGTTACTATTAATGCATCGGCCCATGTAGCAAAAAGATATTTGATTATCTTACAAATTGTTAAATACCTTTTTCATGAAATCTCTCAGTATTATGACAGCAGCTTGTCGAATCCAAGCATATTGGAATGTGACCTTCCATAATTTGAATTTGAAATAGTATGTGGTTCTGTATATTGTGTTAAAAAATTAAAGGATGGTAACCTTTCTTCGTGTGTGAGTGTTTGAATTGAAAGAAAGTAATAGAAAAATTGACACATGAATTAAGTGAAATGAAATTCTTTTGCATTGCGTCCTCTTTGATCTAGAACTGAGTATTGCTACTTCAGTGTACAGTCCAGCTATGGAAATGAACTTCTAGAGCTAATATCTACTGGTTGTCATCCCCAAAATCCTTTCTTAAAATGTTTGTGGTTACTATCTTCTCTACAGTGAGAACTGTTTTTAAAAAAGGAGTCACATATTTATTTGGGGAAAATATGTTCTTTCCTGTTACCGATAATTACTCATTTCTTGTCTTGCATTTCTATTTATGGTATTTTATTAGCAATTGTCTTGATGAGTTTTAGACCAAGAAAGAGAGTAAATGGTTGATCTGTAGAATTTTAGAGTATTGTGTGTGTGAGAGAATGTGTGTACGAGGGGGGACCCCCCAAAAACGGAATTATCTTCTGGAAGGCAGGCCCTTTGTAGTACAGGCTTCCCCTGCTTGGTGAGTGTTCTAGGAGCCCATATATATCAGTGTACTAGCTGGTGTTGTTGTGAGAGGCTGCATTCAGCTTCAATGAAAATTTTTTTAAGACTCTTTCAATGTGTATGCCGATTTCATGATGAGTGATTATGAGCACACCTGCCCACATTGTGCTGAGTGTTCAGCAGTTTTTGACCAAAAAAGGGGACACCCATTCCCCACCCTCCCTCTTCACCCCATCTTGCCCCGAGTGACCTTTGTTTCCCCAGATGAAAAAAGTCCTCAAAGGGAAATGTTTTGCCAGTGTGGAAGAGGCAAAACAAACAAACAAACAGAAAATGGTGGAAGCACTAAAAGACATCAAAATTGATTAAGTTCAAAAACTGTTTTGCATTAAACAGAGAGTACTTTGAAGGTAACTGAAGTTTAAACATGTAAGAATAAAGACACAATTTTTTATAAATAAATTCCAGTTTTTGGGGGGACCCTTTCTCATGTGTGTGTGTGAGTGAGTGTGTCACATGTAGGACTGGAAGACTGGCTGGTCTTTTAAGAAAACTGAATCGTGCAATTTCCATATGTCGTGGGGGAGGAAAAATAATTTTCCCTCTACTCTTTTGAGTTCTTGACTGAGACCCCATGTAATAAAAGATTAATTAAAAAACCAAGTTTATTCACATGTATGCCTTGTGTGTACATAGGACACACCCCAGAAAACTGAGTAACTCCCCGAGGTGTCCCACACCACCATCTTAAATACCATCTTTAGCTAAAGACAGGAGAAGGGGATGTGTGTGTGCACGTGTGTGTGTGTGCTCGCTCGCATGTGTAGGCCAGTTATGGCGGGGACAGCACAGCGAACAGGTAAGGAACTAAGTCAGTGACTTACTCATTGATACCTAGAAATGGAGATTTCCTTTATCAGTGTAAATTTCCCCTATGGAAGGATAAGCTTCTCTGTTTTCAGAGCTTCTCCTGTGTCTGCTTGTCAAAAATAATCAGCTGAAAATAATCTTTATGCCCAAGAGGCATATCGTGGGTTACAGACTCTGCTACCCTTTGGCGTCATGGGGAGCCCTGGCTGACCCTGACAGTCTCCCGCTGCTTCCCCGAGACGGGGTTCTGAGTGCCCCACGAAGAAAGTGAGATTTTTGAACTGCGTCTTCCTTTAAGGGATTTTGTTTGTTTTGTGCCCTGTTTACTTTGTGACATGTTGAACTTCACATGCACTTCTGGGATCTTCTCTATATAAATATTCTTGGTACAAGAGATTATATGTGAAAAGGCTATTTCAGAGAGAGGAACAAAACCATAGCCTTGGTTTGTGCTCTAATTGCAAAGGCCTTGAATTGGGTTAACCTAGTTTCAAGTCAGAGCCTGGGAAGCATGCACCTTTAGGGCTCTAAACTATAGAACTGTAAGAGTGGGTAATAGCAGGTGGTTGGACATTCAAGAAATAAATGCACTTTTAAGCACCTGCAGCAGCCTTGTCAGTTAATCTAAGCTCCCTGTTCCCTCGGGGAGATCTAAAGGTGGTATGTTATCCAGCTTCTTCTAGGAGGTCTCCTGTGAGCTTTGTGTCTGGGAGCAGAGCTACATACAGCCCCCCCTGCACTGTGTATCACATGCCTGCTGGAAAGGCCTCTCTGCATAGGTCAGTCCTGCATCCCATGTGGCCGCCCGTGACCCCGGGGGAGTCAGGCTGACGTCAGAGTTCCGGGAGGGCTGCTGCTGTGTGCACTGGGACACCTCCACAGGCGCATGGTGTCAGAGGAGGGTGAGTTTCAGATCAGCCTGTCTCCGGATTACAAGTGGCTGTAAGGAGCTCCACTCCTCTAAACCTAGCATTTATTTTAAAAAACAAACTGTACTACTTTTATACATTTCTCTTATGCCCTGTTCACATTCAGAGGACTATTTCGTAGACCATTCGCTCAGTCAGCCTTGACATTAAAGGTGAAATTTTAGAGACTATAATGCTAGTACAAAGGAGAAACGTAAGACGATAAATTCTAGCATCTGAGCTCACGTGGCATAAATCCAGCCCAGCTACTCTTTTAACCAGCAGTGAGCTTGGGATGAAGGCCAGCTGTGCATGTTCATTCTGAGTGACGTGCTGCTGAAGAACCTTTCAGAGATGAAGGGAAACGAGTGGCGTTTACCTCTTTGTGTCCTTAGACCGAAATCTTCCTCCTGTGTTTTCCATAAATACTTATAGAATCCTATTAAAGTTTATTCATCCTTTTGAAAAGCACTGAGTAACGTTATGAAACTACTTTTTAGCTGGTATGGAAAAGTTAAAATCACATTTTTACATCATGTTTCATAGGCGAAAACTGCTTTCAGGCATTGCGGTCATACAGATGTGGTCATCCACGTGTTCATTGTTTTATGGGAGATGATCGTCATGTGACAGACCAAGTTGCCCAGTTTGGGGTAAGGGAGGTGGTCTGTGTAGAGCTGTTCTGCACTCAGTGTGTGGGGCAGGTGGTTAGGTTTTACTCCTGGCTCTCTGCCAAGTGCAGTTACAAGACATGTCATTGGTGAATGTTTTCTACACCGTTTTAAGGGAGCAACGAGCAATAACTGCGCCTGACACCAGAGAGAGAGAGACAGACGGGCAGAGAAGAAAAGAGAACAGAGTTCTTCATGTCGAAGTTTTTCTGGAACGTCAGACCTGCCCATTGTAGTCACTGAAATAGCTCTCGAGACAGTGGAAAGCGGGGGAATCAGGCCCTCCTGCCCGGTGCCAGGTTCTTCTCGTCTACTCTCGGGAAAGCAGCTTTGGGAATTCATTTTCCAAATGAGGGCATGAGGGAGTTGCCTTTGAATTAACAATATGTGTCAAAGAATGGACTTTGATATCACTTGGAGGGTAAACACACTTTTGCTTACTTTCATATCTTGCTTTTTACAGGTAGGTGATGTCACAACTTGACAAGTGGCTTTTTAATAGGTTAGGATGACTCACCTTGGACTTTGAAGTCCACCTCGTTCGTGAGGCACTGAAGGAAGTTCCATTCTTGCCTTTGAGCTTAATGTGGAAAAACATACATACAATTTAGCATTGTAACCATTTTCAAGTGTGTAATTCAGTGTCATTAAGTACAGCACATTGTCCCACGATCCAATTCCTTAACTTTTTCATCCTCCCAAACTGGAAACCTACACCTGTTCAGCAGTAGCTCGCCATTCCCCGTCTCCCTTCAGACCCTGACCACCACCAGTCTGCTTTCCTTCTGTGCATTCGGCTGCAGTAGGTACCACACGTAACTGGAGTCATAGAGTATTTGTCCCCTGTCACTGGTTTACTTACTATAATGTCCTTAAGGTTCATCCATGTTGTAGCATATGTGAGAATTCCCTTCCTTCTAAAGGCTGAATAATATTCTGTTTTATGTATGTAGTACATTCTATGTATCCATTCATCCCTCAATGGATATTTGGGTTGCTTCCACTTCCTGGCTGTTGTGAACAGTACGGTTGTGAACACGAGTGTACAAATACCCTTTCCTTGCTTTCATATTTGGGTACATACTCAGAAGTGGAATTACTGAATTGTGTGTAAGTTTTTGAGAAACAAGTTACATTGTTTTTCTATAGTGGCTGCACCATTTTACATTCCCATTATGTTACCAGCATTGTTATTTGGCATTCTTTCACTCCTTTGTAGTCCGAGAAGTAGTCAAGAATGCTTTCATTTAAATTTATTTACACGTATAGGAAAGACTGTGAGATGGCTACAAAGGATTCGATAGGGCAGACCTTGCTAATATTTCCATGAGATTAGAACAACAGTTTTGATGTTCGCATCTTCACTTCTCTTTCTAACTTTATGTGCACACATTTCCTGTAGTTGCAAAGAATGTAAAAATGTAAAATTCTTCTTCACTTATCCTTTTTGTTTCACCATGTTTATTACATGTATAGATGTCAACATACTGCACTATGTGTTAATAAACATATGTGATCATTACATTCGGATGTTGTCAGGTTTTTTTTTTTTTTACGTTTGGTTTGTTTAAATAATGTTGCCATTGCCGTCTTCACTGAACTGCTTTTCTTGAGTGACTGATTTCCGTAAGACCAATTCTCAGAAATCAAGGAGACTGAGTCAAATTCAATCAGGTTTTTTTTTTTCAATAACTTGCTCTGTGTTTAAAACTTTTCTAAGGGCGATTCATCTTCCTTGCAGCCTTGACATTTGACTTCCCAAAGATTTATTGATAGTTGAAAAATTATATGTGTTGTTAAAATAACATTTTGTCATTCAATACATTTTAAGGACTTAATCTCATTTCACATCACCCTAATGAAAAAGTAAGCATTATTTTTCTGTTATAGATGAAACCTGAATAACTTAGAGTTGTCATTTAAAATGTATTTTTATACAAGTGAAGACTTTTTCCTCATTAACCCTCATAGAACTTTCTAAATGAAATATGTGCTCTAAATGAAATATGATCTACTTGTGCTCTTTAAGCACATGTAGATCACCTAGTAGGTAACCTAGCATC